GCTGGCCAGGCCCCGAGTCACCTGGTAGGAAATGTAGATGTCCTTTGAAGCCTGCGTGCAGGACCCCTGTGGCCGCCAGCGAAAAAACAGGTTGAGGTTTCTGAAGATGTGGTAGGGGAGGAAGCAGATGGAAAAGAGAACCATGACAAGAATCACCAGTCCGATGCTTCTCCTCCTGAGGCTGGGGTCCATGCTGTCATTCCTGCAGAGCACGAACACCACGTGGCAGTAGCACCCGATGATGATGAGGAACGGGATGACAAACCCGGTCACGGTGACAGCAAAGGTGTAGGGCAAGTAAACGTCCAGGTGCTGCTGTCCTGTCGTGTCATGGCACTGCGTCCTCTTGTCATCTGCCTTGCTGAAGGCGAGGTCGGGAGCGATCTGTGCAATGACCCACACCCAGACGGCCGCGCTGAGCCACACGGAGGAGGCTGTGCCCTGGCACCTGCCCCGCGCCTTCAGCGGGTGCACGATGCCCAGGTAGCGGTGGATGCTGATGCAGGTGAGGAAGCCGATGCTGGCGTAGAGGTTGAGGTGGAAGAGGCTGCGGGTGATGCGGCACCAGGGCTGCCCGAACACCCACAGCCTGCCTTGCAGGTAGTAGCTGACGAGGAAGGGCAGCGTGCTGACATAGAGCAGGTCAGCCAGCCCCAGGTTGCCCACCAGCAGGCTGAGGGGCTGGCGGGGCCCCGTGCAGAGGTGCCACAGCCCCAGCCCGTTCCCCAGCAGACCCAGGGGGATCACGGTGAGGTACACGGCGGGCAGGAAGCGCTGGGCGAAGGCGGAATCCACGGGGCAGGGAGCCCGAGTGGCATTGCCGGGCCACGCAGGGACAGCGGCCGCGGCCATGGGGCAGTGCTGGCAGAGCTCGGACACCGCGGCAGCACCGCCTCCTCTGGCACCGCTGCGGCTCCCCGCACCTCTCCTCTCCGGCTGAGCCCGGCCTGGGGCTTCAGGGGACTTCAGAATCCCGGGGACTTTCCCCGGGACACGGGGAGGATGTGCCCGCAGCCGCCTCCGCGGAGCGCTTTCCGCCACTCCCCCGGCGCCTCCCCCAGCCCCTCGGAGCCGGGGTCACGGAGCACCCTGGCTATTTTGGGTGCTGGAGTGCCTGGGGGGAGCGGGAGGCAGGGGGGCGGCAGAGGGATGCCTGGGGAGGGGAGCCAAGCTTTCAGCCTGTTTCTGTTCTGTCCCACCCGCGGTCAAGGAGAAACCTCCCAGTTTTCCACAGCGGGGACTGGAAGGCTGCACCCCATGAGCCGCCCTCACTGCCATTCCTGACAGCCTTTTCCCTGGCTGCAACGCTCAGAAATACCGGGAGCAGAGGTACGGAGGACACCGGCAGTGTTCCATGGGGCTCTCGCTGCCATCGCCGGTGCCGCAGGCAGTGCCCCCAGGCAGAGATGTACCAAACTTCTGCCCCAGCACAGGCAGAGTGAGCCATGCTCAAGAGCTGCCGCCTCCCTACAGCTGCTCCTGCTGCCTACTTCTACCTCCTTCCCCAGCACAAAAACCCTTTCCCCGTTCCTCCTTCGAGCGGTGCAGACCCGTGCGGGGTGAACATGAGGCGGGCTGCGCCCTTCCTTTCCTGTCACAGCGACCGTGAGGCAGGAAACACACAGATTTTGGGGCAAGAGCTAAAACAAACACCCAGACACTGAGGCAAGAGCTAAAACACCCAGATATTGGGGCCAGAGCTAAAACACCCAGATACTGGGGCAAGAGCTAAAACAAATACCCAGACACTGGGGCAAAAGCTAAAACACTCAGACACTGGGGCAAGAGCTAAAACAAATACCCAGACACTGGGGCAAAAGCTAAAACACTCAGACACTGGGGCAAGAGCTAAAACAAACACCCAGATATTGGGGCCAGAGCTAAAACACCCAGACACTGGGGCAAGAGCTAAAACCAGCGACCCCAAAGCAGACCCCGAGGAAGGGCAGCCCCGATTGCACTGCTGAGCAGCTGCTGCAGCATAAACAGGGACAGAAGTCACTTGGATCTTCAGGTGCGGAAGTTAACGGGAGGGAGGTTTATCCTGAAAATCCATTTCCCATAGGAAAACCACCTCGGGAAAACGACTTGAGGTGAAAAGCTAGGCTCTGGAAAGACCACGGCCGCTCGCTTTTCGGGAATTGAATCCGGGCAGGGATGGGAGGAGGCTGGTATCCCATTAGGCAGTGGGGAGGAGGAGGAGGGAGGGTGAGTCCTGCCTAGCATCCCTCCTCGGGAGCGGCTGAAATCTCCGCTGGAGCGCACTGGGCACGGCAGCTCCGAGTGGGGAAGCGCAGGACGCAGCTGGGCTGGGGGTTCGCTGTGTGTTCAGAGTGCCGGTGTGCACGCTGACTTCAGCCAGCCCTCGCTGGAGCAGATAAGAGGTGGGAAACGTGGTGTATTTCCTGCCTCTGTAATAGAATCTCGCTGCTATGGGCGTGCCGCCGAAAAGATGAAGTCTGGAAGCTGTTTCTTTGTGGAGAAGATACGGCTTCTCTGCGGTTTGCAGAGGCTCTGGTGGGTCTGTGCCTCTGGAGTTACAGCAGCAGAGGGGGGCCATGGGGGTGCACCCCTCAGGGCAGTGACCCCATCCTGCCCTGCTCCTGCCCCCTTCGCCTCTGTGCACTTCAGCAGCAGCTCGGGCTTGGGGTGGCACTTGCAGAGCAGCTTTATTGAAGTGTGGAAGGACAGCGAGAGAAGAACAGACTGGGAGCAGTTCCCTTTGTCCCAGAGTATCAACCCTTAGGGAAACTGAGGCAGAGACAGCAGCTGGCTGGGAGGACTTCTGTGGTCATGGAAAGGGTAATAAACTGTTCTCGGCAACGAAGTCAAAGCTTCTCTGTCCTGAGAATGAAAGCTTGGAGCTGGTGCCTCCTGCTGTGGGAAGAGAGGAGCAGGGCAGGGCACGGGGAGCGCTGCCCATGGATGGCTGGAGCCCCATGCCCTCCACATCTCCTGTTCCCGGGACCCGCTGGAGGCACAATCACAGAGCTTTTCACTTGTGCCTGACTCCTGTGTGTTTTAGGTGTTCATGGTTTCACTCACAGTACAGGTGCTACTGCCAGTCTGCTCAAACATCCTGCTTGAGGATGCTCCTCTCTGGCTTCTGGCTCTGGCAGGCAACAGCGGTGATGTCAGGATGAGAACCCAGGGCCAGACAGCTCCTACAAACACATAACCTGAACATGTGTTTCCAGGAGAAATGAAAAACCCATTTGATCTACTTGATTTTTTTTTTCAATTGAGCACTGCATTCCTGTGCTCCGTTCCTGAAAATGTTTCACTTTAACAAGAGGCTCATTTAGCCCTCTCTCACCCAACTCTATGCATTTAAAAATCATCAATCATGAGAATGGCTTGGAAAAGAAATTCTGATGCATGTTGTTTACTCATCCAGTAGGACAGTTTTCCTTCAGCTGCTGCGTGTGCTTGCACAGAAATGAGCTGTGATCTGCTGCTCATCACTGGCTCAGGAGTGTGGTTGGCAGATATCAGGCTGTGTGCAGATGTGGCCTTGTGCCTTGAGGACAGGAGTTAATTTTCTTTCAGTTTGGGGATTTAATGGGGTGGAATATTCCTCTGTTGCCCCACACGAGCAGGCAAAGCCAGGACCCTGCGTCAGAGCCTCAAATAACCACGTTTCCAGGGTAGCAGGGCTTTAGAGGGAAATATTGTGAGACTAACAATCAAACTGCAAGAGTTGATTTCCCTGTATTCATAGGGAAAAATAACTCTGATTTATTTGGGATAATTAATTTATTATTTAGATGCTTAGTGAATCAGAGAGACATTCTGCAGGGAAAAAAAAAAAAGATAATTATAGCAGAGGTGTGTTGAGTAATTTGTTTGAGATGAGGATTGCAGGTTGCTACCTAAAAAGTGACCTTCTGATTTTTACCATCACCCAGAGGTGGCTAGGCAGAATCTGGGAGTGTGTGACAGCCCTGGCAGCTCACCCAGCCTTGGTGGCTGAGTCCCAACATGCTTGAACAAAAACTGGCTTAAAACCAGGATTTGCAGTACCCACAATGTGTTTTATTCATGTCAGTTGAGGAACGTGGTAGTTTTGAAGTCTACATGAGCTTTAGGTCACCACTTGTTTGGCATGGCCACCAGAGAACTAAAAAAGTCAACCCAAGATGTTTGTTCTGTGATTTGCTGCCTGCTGGAGATTCACCATGTGCCCCATATGAAAGAGAATTAATGATTTGTATTCAGGCTGAGCACCAGATGATTGCAGTAAATAATTCTCTTTGTAGGCAATGTTTTACTGCAAGAGCAGCAAGGTTTCTTTTTTTCTCTCCTTTTATTTTTTTTAACCCCAAGAGGTGGCTGAATCACATCCTTGACTTTCATTTTCTTTTCAGTTCTTGCAGGGCCTGAGGGAGTGAGTGAGTTGCCTTGGCCCTGCTGCCATTTGTGCTGCTGCAGGGGAGGATTTTCCCTGGGCTGGAGAGAGGAGCTCTCCCTGCCATGCAGCCTTTTGCCCCTTCTCCCCCAGACCTGCCCTGGTCAGGAGCACAGCTGGTGATAGTGGTTGCACCATGCTGGGGAAATCCCAGCCCAGGGGAACTGGAGGAAGTGTGGACCTGGCAGTAGGAGGGATGAGCTACAGGGGAGCTTGGGCATTTATTTTTGGGAGCTGAGAAGAGGCTGCAGATGTGGCTCCAGATGCTGCAGCAGTGCAGGCAGTGCCATGCCCTGCCCGCTCTCCTGCACATCCCAACACTGGAAACCTGGGCACTGCTATGGCCAGGGCTGGTGCCATCAGCAGAGCTTATGGCTGGGTAAGAGTGAAGGATGTAACCCAGGATGCAATAAATTTTAATAATATGTTCAGTGCTTTGATTCACATTTTTTTTTCTTTTTCCTTCTCTTACTCTAAGCAGCCTGAACTGAGGTGCCTCCAAGCTGCCCCACCCTGTGCCAGGACTGCACCCACCAAGCTGGCCCTGAGCAGCGGGGCTGGGCTCGCCCTGCACCGACAAACTCCACACCTGGATGAGCACATCTTTATTCTTCCTTCCAGAAATACACATCTAAAAAGTCCATCTCTCACCTGGACACCCAGACCTCTGCTCCTTCCAGCTGCCCTTCCCGCGGTGGAAGGCGCATTCCCTCTGCCCGTGTGTGCCAGGCCATCAGAGGGCATTTGGGTTCCACTTTCCATCCCCCAGAAGCACTTTGTTTTACTGTGAGAAAAGCACAGCCAGAGCAGCCGAGCAGCTCTCCTGCCCCGACTCCCGCAAGGCTGGAGCAGCTCCAACCGTCGGGAGACGGCTCCGACTCATCTTTGCGATTTGTTTTCCCTTTTTCCTGCTTTTCCTCGGCCCGGCTCGGGGGAATGTGCTTGGATGGCAGGCGGTATGTCTGGTGCTGTGAGCGGAGTCTCCGCTGTCTGAGCTCCTCTCTTGCCGAAGCCCTGCCAAACCACCAGCGCTTTGGAGAGGAGGAGGCCAGCAGAGCGGGAAGGCTCGTGTTTATTCTGGAGGGATGAGGGGAAGGTGAGTTACAGCTGCCATCAGGAGGACCATGCCCGGGAAGGCAGGGTGGGTACCATGGGCTGGCTGAGCTCCTGCATGGTTGAGCAGCTCAGCCTGGTGTGGCAGAGACTTGTGGGGTGCAGTTTGATGACCTGCTCCCTCCCTGGGGGGCCAGGGCATGTGGGTTCCCTCCAGGTATTTTGGCTTCCAGGTGCTGGAGATGGTCTCTCTTGAAGTCCCTGCAAAGCAGAGCTGGGTGATGTGTTGGAGAAGCAGCATCACCTCTTCAGAAGGCCCACTGGTCCAGGAAAGGACCAATTCCTGGTTTCTTGGGTGGGTTTATGCTTGGAGCAGGATTTCCCCATTTCCCATTTCATTCAGCCTAAGGAACTGGGAATGCTGCCCAGTAACCCTGCCTGGGGCAGCGGGGTGTACAGAGGAGGCAGGTGATGGGTGACATGGGGATCTTGTTCTCTGATTCCAGCCTCCTTTGCAGCCAAAGTCCATCATTTCTTCTCTGTTTTCCCAGTGGAAACACCCTCCATCTTCACTGTAACCACAGTGCCATGGGTTTGTGCCAGACTCTTTGCCGGGATGAGGCGTTGGCTCCAGGGTGAATCCGGGGTGGGCACAGCTACAAACGACCTCCTCTTCCCCTCTGGAAAAGCAGAATGGAGATCAGCTGGGAGATGGAGAGGGGTGGTGCTGTGTCCCCCGCAGCTGGGCAGAGGGGGCATGTAGCATAGCAGTGCAGGGGGAAAGGAGTGGGCAGAAAGTGCCACCTGCACACCAGAAAGGCAGATTAGCACTGTGTCCTCACCAGGGTTGTGCCAGGCTAATAAAGGAGTGGCAGAAGCACCTCCCGGGTGTGCCCAGGAGCCAGGCAGGAGCTGCAAATCCATCTCTGGCCATCGGGGCAGGCCGAGCTCACCTGCGTGGGATCCACAGTGCTCCTGGATTCAGACATCCAGAGACCCCAAAATTCTGGTCTGCACCTGCCATCGGCTGTTTTCCAAGCAAAGCTTCAGGAGTGGTTCCCGTGTCCCTGAGACACGGTCAGCTCGTGGCTGAGGAGTTGTGATGGGGCCCACGGGTGCTGCTGGCACTTCCCTTTGTCAGTGAAACGTGTGCCCAGGGGCAGCGGCTCCCCCATCCCTCACTCACCACCAGGAACGCTGCGGGCAGGGCCGGGCAGGGTCTGTCCATGCACAGCCGCCTCTGGGTCTCCAGCCGGCACTGGCGGTTCTGGTTGGACACGCGGGTGGCAAAGCCCAGCCCGCAGGTGGCCGAGCAGGCGCTCCACGCCGTGCCCCACTCCGGGCAGGGGAACCGCAGCACTGGGGACACTGCAAGAAAGGAGAGGGGGGAACTGGTTGGAGGCAGGTGCTGTGCATTTGCCCTGTGGTGCTGCAGGCAAAGCCCTGCGTGGCAGAGAAACGTGTGAGGTGTCTCCTGCTGATGTTTCACAGCCCGGGGTGAAGGGGCCATCCCTAGAGATTTGTGTGTGTTGGAACTCAAAATGTCCCTCAGACATTTTCAGAGGTTCCAGGCCTTGGTCAGGAGCATTTTAGATCCTGGCAGGCAGCTGAAAACAGCTGTGATTTTGAGTTTGAGCCATGGAATGAGTTACCAACTTTGAAGGTGGAACAAGCGGTCACAGAGGGTTAGATGGTATAGTAGAAGTAATTACAAATTAGAGGGGAAAATTTTGTAGTATTGTACAGGGGGGGTTTTAGCACCTGTACAGGGGGATTTTACTTTGTACAGGGGGGTCAGAAGTTCTAAGATGGAGGAAAGTGGGCCTGATCCTGTTCTTCCTCCTTCTTCTTCCTTGCTCCATGTTCTTGGTGATGCTGGCACTCATGGATTGGTTTAGAGTAGAAAAGCACGTTGTAACATAGGTAGTAGGTATTGGGGAAAATCTGTAAACATATAATACGTAATATATCATATAAAAGATAGCAGCAGCCCTGGGCGGGGAGAGAGAAGACGAAGACACCGGACAGTGAGGGTGTCAGGAGTGTGTGTGTCTCTGCCTGGGCCGCTGACCAAAGCAGCTGCAGTGGGTGAAGACAATCTTTAGATAACTTGCAATAAACTACCTTGAGACCCAACAACAAGAGGCTGCGGAGTTTTTCTTTGGAAGCACGGGTTGGAGGAGAGACTTTACCACCACACGAGACCCCGGAATCAATCCCGGGGTTCTCACATGTATGGGCCCCTCCCTGGGGCTGCCCTGCATCTTACCTGCCCTGGCATCCCGGGGGAGGTGCTGGTCCTGGGTGTCACAAACCCACTGCGGGCAGCACTTCCCTGGGATCTCCACGCGGCGGGGGTAGGGGCAGTCCGGGCTGGGCAGCCGCACATCCTCCTGGCACAGCGGGATGCAGTTGAAGCCGCCGTCCAAGCACTGGCACTGGATTTTGCAGCTGGGCTGGAAAACCTCCCCGTCTCGATAGACCCGGCCGTTCACCTCGCAGCCCTCCTCATCGTCTTCAACTGCAAGTGACAGCCGGGGAGCCGGTCAGGGACAGAGGGACAGGGAGATGGGGGTGGCAGGGGGCAGTGCTGGGGCTAACTGCAGGGCTGAGCAAAGGGATTGAAGTGGGGGGACCACAGAATTGACTGAGTGGTGTGCAGGGCAGAGATGGGTGTGCAGCAGCATGTTCATCATTCAGTCTCCTCCCCTTCCCTGTCTTCTCTCCTCATCTCTCTGTTCTTTCAAAGCAACAGCTCACCAGCTGTGAGAAACCCCCTGCCCTGTGGCTCTGACCTTGCCTTCAGGATTTGCAGGCTAGAAAATTTTCTCTGAGGTTTCTCTGCAGGACCCTCAGACTCCAGCCTTGACAGGGTGACTGCAGCATCCCCGGGACGTCCCTGTTCATTCTCACTGAAACCACCCTGAATTCTCAGTCAGAAAGCAACACAAGAAGTGGCAGGAGAGGGGGCACAGCCCCATGGCCAAGCTGCATGCATCAGCCTCAGGAAAGCTGCTTTCCTAGCCTGAACCATCCCCAGGTGGGGCTGTGGGATGCCTGTGAGGTCATGGCTGGAGCTGGGCAGTGTGCTGGACTGGAGTGTGGAAGTATCTCTGGGGAAGGTGGGCACCCCTGTGCTCACAGTTGCAGATGCCTGCTGTCCCTGCAGATGCTGAGCTGTAGTCGCAGATGAGGCCCTGGCTCTGGTCACAGACGTGCAGGAAGTCACAGGGCTCTCCCAGGCGCCGAGCACAGATCTTGCAGCAGCCACACCCATCCAGGACCAGGGGGGACCCGCGGGGGCAGCGGGGTGGCACCCAGGGGCAGTAGCACGGTCTCCGGCACAGCTGGGCACAAACCTGTGGAGGCAAAGCTGAATCCGTACAGGTGTTTTTGGGCTAACATCTGCTTTGTCACTGGGACAGCCAGGTAACTTTGTCTCAACCATGGGGGCAGATTTTTGGTGGAGGGAGGCCTTTGGTGGAGGGTGGCTCCAAATCTATGGGAATATCTCAAAGCATCCTGGAAAGCTACTGGCCCCTTTGAAGGGTACCTGTGGGAAACCATGGAGAATCCAGGATGCTCAGAGGCTCAGCACTCTGAAAGATGGGGACTTTAATATGCCACTGCTCTGAACATACAGGAGAATGGAGCTACAAGGTGAAGATGCCGGGCAGTGATGGTTATTTAATGAAGTCAGCAGCCTCAAACAGCCCAGTGGCAGAGAGGAAGGGAGGGAGGTAAAGCAGCCCACCCCCATGCCTGCCCCAAAGGCAGCAGGCTGTGCCCAGCCCAGGAGAGGTGGCTTTGCAGGGTCTGAATTCACGTGCTGAGTGCACAGCACCTCACTCCTTATAATCTTCAGAGCTCTCATTCATGCCAAAAAACAGGACATTGCATCAGCAGTGGGGATCTGAAGCCAGGCAGACCTCACTGCATTCCTCACTGGTCCAGCTGCATCCTCTGCTTGTCCCTGGCTGCAGCATCCTCGCCTGGCCTGGCCCACTGGGCAAGGAGCCCGGAGATAGGCATGGTTCAAGGACTGGGAGCTGTATTCTCTCGTGGCTAGACTCAGTAATCACTTTGGCAGGGCTGTGCACTGCAGTCCTTCGCCTGCTCTGCCAGGGAGGTGCCCACGGGAGTTCACCTGGGCAGGTGGGTGTTTATACCCTTGGCTCATCCTGCTTGCACCCACCCTGGCACCAACAGCTCTTTTAGGCAGCACCTGACAGTGATGAGAGCCCCCTGGCAGCCCTGCTGTTCAGCTCCATGCACACGCTGCGGGATGCATGTGCAGGGCCAGTGTGTGCAGCACAGCAAACATGCAACCAAAACATTCACCCCTGCCTGCTCCAGGTACTGCTGTGACTGCTGAGCCTGCCATGAGAGCGATGGGCTCACCAGACCATGTAGCTTTTAGATACCATTTTTCTTTCTCTTTCAGTTTCTTCCAGTGGCATCAGGACTGACACGAGGAGCCAGGCAGAGAGGGTAGCTCCTGGTGCTCTATCTGTTCCCCATTTGTAGCAGCTCAGATGCTTTTCATGGGGCTGTAGAAGTGTCAGTGCCAATAACTGGAATTATAATATGGATTTGGGATTGAGTAATCTGGATTTTGTTCTAGTTCTGCCAGTGAGCAGTATTATTAATGTGGCAGAGACCAAGGGACTGGCTGTGGTGGCCAGGTTTGGGCTGGCAGCACGATGGTCCTTGGTGATTCTCCAGGCACTCGTGAGCACCTGGGGCAAGAATCATTGCTGTTATAGCTTACCCAGGCAGCCAAGGGCGTTTTTCATCTTTCAAGAGGTTGTTATTACAAATCAATGTTTTAGAAAGATTAGCCAAGCCATAAATCCATTTCCCCCAGCTCCTTGTAATTTACTTGTCTTTATGTGACAATGTGGCTTCTGTCAGAGGTCTGAACTCTCTGGGAAAAGAGTCAAATAGGCACGACACTGCCACAACATCCCTGCCTGGGGATTCAAGCAGCAATTAGAACTTGGAGCTGAGATGCCCCAAATTTTTCAACATTCCTGTTCTCTGCGCAGGCAAATATTTTCACACAGAGTCCAAGAGAAAAAAAAAAAATAATAAAATCTCTACAACAACCCAAATCCCATTGGAGGTACTGGCTTGGCGTGAGCATTCCGAGGAGTGGGGAGAGCTGAGGAAAGGCAGGGCTGGTGCTGGTGGCTTGGCCCCTGCCTCGGGAGCCTGGGCGGGGATGGAGGAGCCCGGAGGAGCCGGAGGAGCCGCTACCGCCCAGCGGCTGCTGCTGGCCCGGGAGCGGCGGGACAGGCAGCGAGCAGCGCATTGCCGGCGTGGCTGTGCGCTCCGGGACCGCACCGGGAGCGAGCCCCGGACCCGGCTGCTCCTGCTCAGACACCCCAGCACAGCCCTGCATCAGCACAGCCTGGCTGCCGGCACACCCCAGTCCCTCCTGCACCCCACTCTGCCAGAAGCGGGTGCCAAAGCTGCCCCAGTGCCCCATCTCCCTTACCTTGGAGAGAATGCAGAGCAGGGAGAGGAAGAGGAGCTGCTTCTCCAGCTGGAGCCTCATGCTGCTCTCCCCTGTGCCACTTCAGCACATCACCCCCCAGGCAGTTTGGAGGCAGAGTTCGCAGGTTTTAAAGCCCAGAGTAGGTCCTGCTGGTGTTTATACTCTCCCTGCTCTGATGTCACTCACAGGCTCCAATATAAACATGAGTAGGTTTGGACAAGCCTCAAGATTTTCTTTTTTTTCCTTTCTTATTTTTTTTTTTTTCCAGCCCACATTCCAGCTGCCATTTCCACTCTTCTCAAGGTGAGAATATGCTGTCCATCAGGACAAGGAGTGAAGGGAAGGGATGCTGTGCTGTCCCTGGTGAGCAGGGGAGAGAGGCTGGGGAACCAGGCTGGTGGGGTGATCCAGCTCCCTTCCCCTAGCCTGGGAGGGAAGTTTCATGCCCTATCCTGCTGATCAAAGTCTGCCCAAGCAGAGCTGGGATCTTCCTGCTGGGATTTGAAGGGATTGGCAGGACTGACTGTCCCTGCTGCTGCCATGACCAGGCAGCAACAGAGCATCCACCCCCATCTTTAATGCTGCACCCAGCACATGGCAGGCTGGGGGAGAGGGGTCACCCAAAGAAGCTGGAAATGGATTTGCTGTGGTGGTGGTGCTGCTGCTGCCACATCATCCCCATCCTGAGAAGAACTGTGGTCACCTGGTGTAGGAATATAAAACTCTTGGGGAGGCTGCTGGGGTGGGGTGGTTGGATGCACATTGTGTTGCATTGTCTTGGGTACCTGATGCAGAGAAGGCTGCAGCCTGACCCTGCTGATTTCAAGCCCCATAAATGCAAATTCCGCCCCTGAAGCATTATGATCATCCTAATCAATTGTAAGAATTAGAAATCCAAGTTTGGGGATGAAAAGCAGGTGCTCAGCCATTGCTTTCTCAGTCTGCCCTGTGCAAGCTTTTCTCTTGTCCTCTGTGACTGAGGATCTGAGGCTGGCTCTTAGGAAAGACAAACCTAAGCACCTTAAGACCTACACTAGACAGTCACTTCCCCATATTCCCATTCCCCTGATCTTATCACACGATATGAGAGGACAATTTGTGAGCCCAGAGCTCAAAAGAGAGGCCTGAACATAAGGATGCAGGATTTCCTGCAGCTCTCCCTGGCTCATCTCCTGCACCCCTGCCCCTCGCCTGCAGGATGTGTTCTGGGGCCAGGACTACTGCTCTGTGCTGGCCAAGGGATGGATCCTGGTGGCTGTGCACTGCCTGTAGCATTCAGGCATGATGAGAACTGCTGTTGGATATCAGGGCTGTGATGGCCAACACACAGGAGGTGCTGGCTGATATAAGGAGAACACCAAACCCACACAGCTAAGAGTGATGCCACATCTCTCCCTCTGGCCTATTTCCCCTCTGTTTTCTTTTGTGAAACATGTTCTCAGTCACCTGAGCAGCAATCCTGACCTCAGCTCCACACTTCCCAGAGCCTGGAAGCCAGGGCATGGAGCAGGGTGGGCACAGCCCAGCAGGGAGGAGCACAGACCGACCTCTCACATTACCACCCCAAACCTCTGCTTTGGCTGTGCTTCATTAGCTGCAGTCAGGCTGTTAACGAGGCCATGGCAGCTTGTGGGAATACCAGGACACTTTCCAAAGGCTGCTCTCACTTATGCAAGTGTCAGAGCCTCTGCCCTGCATGTTGGAGCACCAGCTCCCACCGTGCCTGAGGTGCAGAGAGCTGCTCTGGCAGCCCTGCCTGTGGCAGGGGAGGCATGAGGAGGGCACATTGCTTTGAACTCACTGGCAGGGCGGTGGTTCAGGTGGTTCAGAGGGTTTGACATCTGAGGCTGCAGAGGCCTCTCATGTTCCACTTTCTGCTCTGGTGGCAGTGCCCTCTCACTGGCTACAGCTCAGCAAACATCCTGGGAGTGGCTTGGGACAGCCAAAGTAGTGATCCAGCTTTGCCACATGGGGATAGTTCAATTAATTATTCCAGCCTTGTGTTTATTAGAGATTCCTGATTAATAGCCATGAGCTCATTTCCCAGGTAGAAATCAGGTGACAGTGCTGGTAACAGAAATAAAAACCTCTCATTTCCCACACTGAAGCACCCTTGGAGCAGCTGACAGACCCCTGTGTGAGGTCTCAGGGGGCAGCAGGGCACCCCTGGGGAAGGCTGAGGCTCAGGGCTGCCCAGGGAAGCCAACTGGACATTAAACCCCTGTCACCTGATGTGTCCTGGGTGCAGGGTCAGGTCCTTTCTCTTTCCTTACTCTTTCCTCAGCTCAGAACAAGAGGGAACCTTGCTTCCCCCCACACCTGGTGTTGCTGAGATTTAGATGTAGTGAGGTGACATCACTGGTTTGACATCACCAGGAAGCTGTCAGAGCTCAGGCAGTGGCTGAGAGCCCGAGTCAGGCCTGGGTCAAGCCAACACTCCCAAGTCAAGCAGTCGGATGGGGCCAAACCCAGCATCCCACACTTCTGATGGCGTTGGCAATCCTCACTGGTACCTGGCTGGATTCTGGAGGTGCCCAGTGGAGCTGGCTGGAGGAGTACCCACAAAGTCTCCCATGATCTGCCTTCCCAAAGAGGATTCTCCATGGGTGACATGGGCTTTGGCTTCCCTTCTCCCAGCTCTGGGTCCCACGTCCCCACCCAGGTCACTGTGCTGGCCCTGCAGGGGCTGCAGGCAGAGCCTGGCACAGGAATTCTGCCCCTGCACGTATTTTGATGTGCCAACAGCCCATTAGCAGTTTATTTTATAAATACTGTTTATAGCCCTTCCCCTCTGGAGCACCTAACCTGTAAGTGTTCTGTACCATACGTGTGATTTCAGAGCTAGTAATTAAGTCCGTATGTCTCGCTCCACAGTTTCCATGGTATTATTGTCAGGTTTTTTGGGGGGTTATAATTTTTTTTTTTTTTTTTTTTTGTGGTCAGTTGTGCGAGAAAATAGTTGATACAGGGATCTGAATACATCTCCTTTGAGTTAGCCGTTGGCAAGCTTTGCTGTTTCTATAGAAATGAAGGAACTGCCCCTGTGAATTTACATTTTAGAGAGCTGAGCTTTTCATGTGTTTGCAGTTCTAACGTGCCATCGTGAATAACACAGAAAAGCTCTCATTTGCACACCCTGCTCAGCTGAAATTGCATCCATCTGGGATGGATATTGAGCATATTCTCCCCTCATGCCTTCCCTTTGCTGGAGACTTCCCGTCTTTACTCTCCACCATGTGTCAAGCACCCTCCCCAGAGCTGGGGGAAGTCACAGCAGGGTCTGGGTGTCCATCCCTGGCAGGAGCAGTGAGGCTGTCCTGGGTCCTGGCTGTGAACATGTGGGTGAGCCCAGCTCCATGGCTTAGTGGGAAGATCACTCCCTTTGCTCCTGGGCACTCCTGGCTCAAATCCCCACTGCAGAGGAGCAGGGCTGCCCATGGAGGGTGGACAGCACTGGTGCAAAGCTGGACATACACCCAGCTTGGAAAAACCAAGAGCCCTGAGCTGAAATGGAGATGCCTCAGGTCTCCTTTGGCTGTTGGACATTTCGGGGTGGCTGCTGGATGTTTTTCATGATACTTCTGGAAAACGCCATGGCTTTGGGAAATTTTGAAATATCTCTGCTTTTGGCAACATGGGAGAATTGTTTCCTACCCAGAATGAATCTGGCTCCAGTTTCAAACAGCAAGAGCCGAGAGAGGTGGTGATGGCTCTTTCCACCCCTGTCTGGGCATTTTTATTCCCTCTGGTTCTCACACCTTAACAGGACAGCAGAGCCAGCCTGAGAGGATCAGCCACCCCGAGGGACAAGGGATGGGCCAGGCAGTCTTTTACCTTGAGGTCACTGCTTCCACCCCAGGCAGGGATGCAGGGACTGAAAGAATTTACCATCTGGTGCCTGGCCAAGTGACTTGTGAGAAAAGAATTCAGGGCTGCCTTCCAGTTTCTGATGGTCAGGCAACTGCATCAGGAACCTTGGCTACATGTGGGACCAGCTGACCCCTCCAAGCTCCCAGCCACGGTGGCAAGGCCAGCAAGGCAGCAGCCAGGCATTGCCCCTGCCAAAGGAGAGACAGGAGCCATGCCTGGTGGTGGGGGCATTGAATCCTTCACCACTTCCCAGACATTTTTAGGTAGGTTTCACTAAAAAGAAGCACTGATAAATGGGGCTTGGGGCTGGTTCTGTTCTCAAAGTCTGACATTGCCAAGAGGAAGGAGCTGAGTGATTACACGAGGAGCAAATGGACCATCACAACCAAGAAAATGCTTGGCTTAGCCAAAACTATAGTGAGAGCTCATCCTTCAGACTGAGGGGCTTCTCATTAGCACAGCACAGCCTTGTATCAGCTGTTGTGAAGGGACAACAGAGAAAGATCAAACCCTGGGCAATACTTCTGTAAGATTTTTTTCCTGCAGTCCAGACAAGAGCAATTCATAATTGTCCCACTAAGTAAAACATTCAGATAACTCAAAGAATAAGACTTTTGTAAAACAAAGCTTGGAAACTTCAGCCAGATGAGGTTTTCTATTGTTATCTGGAAAACAGTGTCAGAAATCATCACATATTCAATATTGTGATCCTCTGGGAGTTAATTTTTTTTTATTGAGTATCAAACATCATCAAACATAAACTTATTTTAAAAAAATCACTATAAGTTTTATCTTTCAGACAAGATACAATCCCCAGATACAATCCCCAGATCCTGACCTTGTGTGGTTACTGACAGACCCTTTGTATTTTCCATGGAGCTGGATGGCTCACTTATGTTTCCTGATCTAATTGCTCATTCTTTTTGGCTATCTCTATTTTTCTTGTGGTTTCAGTCTAAAATAGACATTGTTTTTCCTTCAGTTCGTGTCTTGCTTGAGGGTGCTGCATGTTCTCACACAGCTGCCATGTCCCCTGCAGCATCAAAGAGGCTGCAAAAGGAGGCACACACTGATGTGCAGGCAGTGATGTTTGTAGGTGTCTCCAAAATCACCTTGTAATTGTGCCAGCTCTGCCTTCGGAGGGGTTTGGGGATGCTGTGCTCCCTCCCAGCCCTGCTGTCTGTGACTCTGCTCAGGCTTTCGAGGATGCACACATGAGGCAGCTGGTGCTGGGCCTGGGAAATGTGTGCTGCTGGAGGAGCTTTGGGTGACACAGGCTGTGTCTGTTCCCAAATGTCACAGCCCTTCACACCCCCAGGGCTGCTCTTGGTTCACCAGCAGCAGGAGCAGCTCA